AAAAGTGAATTCGCGTTGCTTCACCTTGTTCAATTTGTCAAATGTTTCAAACTTTTCTGTAGTTTAATTCTAAAGGAATTAATCTAAGGTCAGAAAAAAGAAAAAAGAAATCGTTTTCTCCCGTTAACGTCCCTTATAAAACGTAAAATTAGGACGTTTCACGTCGTAGTCTTGCAACAAATGCAAAGAAATGATAAAAAACACGTGATGTACGTACGAAGGTATTGTTTTGCAGTGCAAATGCGCGTGAGCCTTAACTTTTTTTAAAACAGGTTTTACATCTTCAAAGTTAATTTGTCCATCCATGGTGCTGGACGGCGGCTTGATGAAAAAAGCAAACAGTCCCTCGCAGTGGTTTCTCTCCGTAACGTAGCGTCCGGCATGGAGAAACCACTGCTCACTGGGATACCAAAGTCAGAGAGAAGTAGGCAAAAGATCAATATTTTGCAAGAAAATATCGACAAATTTTATTCATTCCCTAGCACAAACTTCATAACTGGACAAAGGATGTGAATTAAGAGGCAGAGATTCCCCAAGAACTGTATCAAAAAAGGAATTAAATACTTTATCGCATTGAAAAGAAAAATGTCGACACATACATGTGCACCTCTTTTGCCTTTTTCCAGCTTTTTTTCTTTCTTTAAGTATCATCCCTGTCGGACATTCACATCTGACTCCAGTTGGTGTGTATAGACACAAATGACTGCACCCTCCGTTGTTACGCTCGCATGGGTTGGAACCTAGAAATGTAGGGGAACATAAATGAGAAATTGAATGCAACGAAGGTCATCGCAGGTTCGCCGGTACCCTGACCCTGCAGACCCGTGTCTTTAACTGAGGTGATCTAGTTGCATTTAATTTCTTCAATCCGCGGTTTCAACATGTGAAATTCACATATTCATCATATCATAATGAGAAACTGCTATCTGATTTACTGGCAAAAAAACAAGTCGACTACAAGTCATGGGAGAGTACTGTGTCGCTGGGAATTTCGTTTTTGGCAATTAAAAGAATTACTCCTATTAGCTAAAACGCCAAAACGAGGTCTGTCCGAAAGGGTAGTCGATTTACAAATGAACTCTGCGAATAAAAATAACCTGTCATAAGCTAAGTATGATCGTCCGGGTAAACTATTCCTCTTGAAATGACTCCAACCCTTCACAAAAATAACCTGCTTGGCATTTTTTGTAAAGCAAATATCTTTAGTGTAATTTCGATGTTCCTTTTATTTGTAATGCTGGTAGCTACCATCGTTATTTGGTTGCTTAGCAGTAAGAAACAAATCAAATCAACCAAAGTGTAACACACAAAAAAGCACAGCCTTACCAAGAGGGAGATCAAGATTGACAGCCTTCAATCCCATCAAATGAGGTACACTGCCAATGATCAAGTTTCTATTGTTACCAGTCTTTTTGTTGACACTCTCTATGGCACGTCTTTGCCAATCTGTCCAAAACAAACGATCTCTCAAACACATTTGGCAGTTTATAGTCGAGAATTACTCTACGGTTGCTTCCATCAAGGCTCATGATTTCAATTTTGTCCAACTTGGCATCAGCCCAGTAGAGTTTTTGTTCGTGGAAATCAATGGTTATGCCATTAGGCCAAGCCACCGATGTGTTCACCAAAGTAATACGATAACTACCATCCAGTTCTGCTCGTTCAATCTTTGGATGTTTATCCCAATCAGTCCAGAACATATACCTGCCAGAGAAACAGAATTTAGGTTTTCACTGTATAAACCTGAGAAGAGAGGTTACAAGCGGGGTTTTGGCCAGTCGAAAAATAACGTTAACTGAATACGTGCCTTGAAATTGTGTGATCAGTCTTTTCATGTACATGTAGTCTTTTAATTATCACGATTTATTTGTGACGAACACTTAGCCAAGCTTAGCTCAAGCTTGTTTTTCTGTGTTCCTGAGTGTGTTTTCTCAGTTAGTGTCATAATAAGCATTTCTTTTCAGTACGTATAGCATCTTAGGGATCTGATCAGCGTAGCAGTGTCTAATCCTGTATTCGAGGTCACTAGACTAATGAATATTGAAACATTGGGGATGTCTTGCGAATTGCTTGATGGGAGTGTCAAAATTGTCCCTTATTAGCAGCGTAATGACTGAAATGCAATGCAGTTTCATTAGCGGTTGGAACACCAGTGCGATGTTGAAAAAAAGGACGAGTTTTTGAACAAAGTTCACTCGGTGTGCTTAAGACCTCATCATTTACGACCGTAGACTCATAATAACCAGCTTACCCTAGAGAAGGGTGCAGTGTTATTGCTCTTGGCTCGTCTAGGTCTTCAGAGATGACGATCTTTCTAGACGAACCATCCAACCTGCTGACTTCAATTCGATCTGTGCCTGTGTCAGTCCAGTACAAGTTCCGTGCCACCCACTCAACTGCAGGACCATCAGGATGACTAACGTTGTTGATTAAGACTTGCACACCTAACAAAGGTAATCAAACAAACATAAAAAGCGTGCCACTCATGAAGCTAGAAATGGCTCTACTTCAGCTGCATGCCAGGTGTTAGCTGAGGCCCGTTTATATGGAGCGAAGTTGTACGAGCCAGACGGGTGACCCTACCAGCCGAGTTAACTTTAGCGACAGTTCATTTGAGTTGAACCCTTTGCCAGAGCCAATGGCGCTTGGGTCAATCTGGTCCCGAAAGCCTTCGTACCCTTGTCCAGCGGAACGGGCATCCTTGGTGCTGACCAAAAGGATTGCAGCTTCTGGGAACGAGATTGCGTCTTGTCAAAAAGCATTGCTTGCGCATGCTTTAATTCATTGACAGGGTTGACCAAGCTGGGCACACGCTGCACTTTATGTGAGTGTCAATGTATTCAGCTTATACATCTCCTACTGGAGACGGGACCGCCATTTTACGTGGTCATCTGAGCCACCCGAGGGTGTAGCCATTTCAGGGCAAAGGCCGTACCATCAATTTCCATTTAGTTTAAGTCCCTGAGTATTGGTACGGCCCAGAGAGAATCGAGCCCGCGGTCTCCCGCTTTGCAAGACAAGTGTTCTACCGGCTGAGCTAATCCTGCCGCGGTCAGAGAAGAGTGTTATTACGGAGAAACGTTGGCACGGAAAGGAGGGCGACCCTACCATCACAAAAGGATGACTCACCTAGGGGCGTCACCCTTTTAGCCGAGCCGACTCTTTGTGACAAATTCATGTATACGTTTTGCCAAGTTCTGTGAGGAAAACGTAGGAAAAGCTAGAGTTGTTCGATCAGTTAGGCGAGTGACCCTTACTTCTACCTGCTGGAACAACGTTTCTTAATGTTAACGGGACCTAGTACAATGCATCTAACAGGAATTGTCTGCCCCTTAGTAGGAGGTTCTGTTGAAGCCAAAATTAAATAAACTTTCAGGGAGAGGACAGAATGCAAATTGTAACAGTAAGCGCCAAATGAACCTGATTATTTCAATCGAGGCCCGTGGCAAAACTTATAAAATGCAACGTGTAGCCTTACCTGTTCCATCCATTTTGGACCTTTTAATTTCAAGCTTTTCGTCATCGCTCCAATAGACAAATTTATCCACAGGATCAAAATCAATCGCCATTGCATGGCGGAGACCAGAAACTGGCATAACAACATCAGTGAAGTCGGGTGTGTCAAGTGAAATACGTCGTATATCCACTTTACGTGCCAATAATAGGAAGTGTACAGGACCTGTAACAAAATGAATCTAAACGAAGTACTGAAAGTTGTGCCTTTCACCTATTACAACTGAAATTTGGCCATTATGGTAAGAGACCAGAAACTGGCATGGCAACATCAGTGAGGTCGGGTGTGTCCAGGAATATGCGGCGCAAATTCCCTTTTCCTTAACCAGTATCAAAACGTGCACGGGACCTGCGACGTACGCCGAAGCAATAGCTAGGCTTGGATAGATCGTGCTGCCAAAAATAGCATAATATGCTACTAGGAGTGTTCGTATATTTCTAAAATTAAATCTATTTTCTGCAAATTATGCTCATTTTTGCAAAAAATGCAGAAATTATGCTTCTCCCCCAAATTACTTTAAATTTGGTAAGAACGCCTCAGTAACTATGCAACAAACATGGTGGCTGGCAAACACATTTATTTTATTTACATCTAGAAACTTTAAGAGTGCATAATTCCCAAATGAGATTTTGGTTCGTCTCATGAAAAGTTGGACGTTTGTCCTAGGCTACAGAGTACTTCTTGAAGCCCCCCTTCATAGATAAAACTGTTTCCCTCCCTTTGACAATAATAATGCGTTCTAGTTTTATTCATCCCTGAAACGTTTGTGCCTCTTTAAATTTCTGTTTGAACCGAAGTGCAGCACTGCGCTGCCAAAATTCGCAAGGGAATAGAAATAATCTGTGGAAGCGAAATTTATGTAGTTTACTTAGCCACAAAAACTATTTTGGGCTGGATTGGTAAAAGTTGTAGACTTAACTAACATGACGGAATCGTCTTCAAACAAGAGATGTTCTAACACAAAAAATGGTGAGTCTATGAAAAAAGTCTCAAATACTTAACTTGATTTCTTAAAATTCTATAATGAGTGTTGTGCTCCGAAGGAAAAAACATCAAGCGCTGGAATACGAATTTAAATAAACGCAGATGAGGTGCATGTAACCAAGAAACCGCTTTCAAAGTTTCCGCCGCTTACCTTGCTCACAAGTCTTGTTGTCAGGTAAAAGCTTCACGCCAGTCGGGCAGGCACATGATTTACCACGATTATTAAGCAAGCATAAATCACTGCAACCTCCATTAGTACTTGAACTGCAAGGATTTTTACCTGAAAAGAATGCATAAAATTTGTTGCCACTGTTTCTGGGAGTGATCACAGACATGATGCATACTAATTGCAAAAATCTAGTTTTCAAAGCTTGTGGTATCCTCCTATCTTTTAGCGTGAAGTGATTGGGGAAATGGGTTACCCCAAGAATGGGTTAAAATATCGTAGATCAAGAAGAAAAACGAGCACTTCGACCAAATTCTCTTTTTAGCTTGTAACCTTCGATCACAACCCGTTGTCAGTCGATGGATGGTCTTTATTTCTCTGTAATATGCTGTGCCAGGTCCCTGGACAATGATACATAGAAGTCTTACTTACGGATTTTTCTAGGAGTAAATTGCTTGACGGATGTAAGACAGGCAAGGCGGACAAAAATGGTATTTGTTTCACATTTTGTCCGCTATGTAGTATGATAAATCAAAACCGTCCTTCGTTCTATAAAATCAATACGTTGAAAAATGTAAAGTTTTCTCCTTAAAGTACACAATCTGTCACCAAGAAAATGACAGTCAAAGTGAATCGACAACAGTTTCGCTAGCCTAAGAAAACAGCCGACATTTGGCGACGCTACCACTGGTTTCCCCGCCAAATGACGTCTGAGAAACAAGCGCAGATATTCCATACTGATCACGCGTCACTACCCAGATCTGGGTAGTACTTCTGATTGGTTGTGCCGCGTGGGAAATTTGATTCAACTAATCAGAAGCACTACTCAGATCTGGGTAGTGACCATCCTCGGAGACCCAGAGGCAGTCAGTCGAGAAAGGCGCGAAGAAAGTTTTCAAGCATGGGCGGAAGAGCCCCTGGGTACCGACTCTCACCGGACCATTTCCAAACGGTCAAGGGAATGCTGGCTCCTAATTGGGCACAAAAAATGCTTTGTACTATTGTGTGCAATCGGCGAACAGTTTTCCCCGAGTTCCTTTCGTGAGTTCGTACACGACGTCTATTATCTTGCCACAGTTGCCCGGTTCGTTCCCTAAGCTTTCCTAACCAGAAACGAAGGAACTACCGATGAGTCAAAAAACGTTTCGGATGCTATCAGCAAGAGCAATTCATTTTGCACTGAGAAAATTCTGTTTCTGACGGATCACAATGTATCGTAAATAATAGGAAGTTTAAGATGCTGCGGCGATGAGAAAGTATAAAAAGCAATAGCTTGAGCGCTTACCATTTGTAAGGAAATTTCGGTAAAAAGTTTCTGACAAATGGTACTGGACTTGAAAACGTTTCCGAAAAGAGGAGTGAGTTAGAGTTATACCATTGCAAAACACCAGATAACGAGTGGGCCTGGGTTGAAACAAATCACTTTCCGCCTCAAGACACGCCAGGTACTGAGCAGACAAATGGTACCAAATATTTTGGTCGTATCGGTAAAAACGGGAAAACGGGAAAATTTCCACCGGGATGAACCGTTCCATCTGAATTCTCCCTGGAATTACCGGGTTTTCCATACAAATGGTAAGCGCTCCTTGACAAGGCCAAAAAAACAACATTTTTGCACGTACATCACGCTTTTTTGTACATTTCTTTGCCGTCACTGCACGACTACCAGGTGAAAATGCTTGATTTCACGTTTTGTGAAGGACGTAAACATGCAGGCAATCACAAAATTTTCTTTCTCTTTATGAACTTGGATATGGCAGGTAGAAATTCAGCTCCAGAAGATTTTGCTTGCATTTGGCAAAGTAAGCAGGGTGGAATAATCACAACAGAGACTGAAAAAATGTGAATTCACTTTTCATCCGACGTTTTCGTGGCTGTCAGCTGTCGTGTAAACTCTCTAATATTAACGAAGGCGTGATCGATGCAAGTGTGAATGCCTGTTGTAAGCTCAAGCTTGTATTTTTGGAAAAGCATCTTTAGTTTTCGGGTAGACAGTATTTTGAAATGGAGAATTTATATTAATCTGAAAGTTTCCTGACTGCGTGCATTTCTTTAGTGCATGAGCTAGACAAGCCTTGATCGAGTCAATAGGGCGGATCCAACGACGCGGACGGCAACGAGAACGTTATCAACAACTGTGCATCACGCTTTTTTGTACATTTCTTTGCCCGTTTTTGCACGACTACGACGTGAAAATACATAACTTCGCGTTTTATGGAGTACGTAAAGAAGCAACAACGAAATTTTATTTCTCTTTCTGAACTTGGATATGGTCCCTAGGAATTAAATTCCAGGAGGGTTCGCCTACATTTGACAAAGTAAGTGGGTGGGAATAATTGCGAAAAAGACTGAAAGAACTCAGATTCACTTTTTAAGCGACTTTCTTGTTGCTGTCGCGTCGCTGGATCTTAAAGTCCCTAATAGCCGTCGTGTACGAATTCACAAAAAGAACTCAGGAGATGCTGTTCGTCGATTGGGCACAATGATACAATGCATTTCTTGGGTCCAATCAGGAGCCAGTATTCGCTTGACCGTTTGAAAATGGTCCGATGAGAGTCGGTAGCCAGGGGCTTTTCTGCTTGTGCTTGAAAACTTTCGTCGCACCTTTTCTCCCGGCCCGACTGACTACCCCTGGGTCTCCAAGGATGGGTAGTGACCCGTCATCTGTATGGAATTTCTGCGCTCGTTTCTCAGACGTCATTTAACGGGGAAGCTAGTGTGATAGCGTCGCTACATATCTGCTGTTTTCTCAGGTTACGGATAAAAGAGTATTCAAGAACAAAACACTTACCGGGCCTGGGTACCTGCCTTTTGGCTACATAGGCACGAATATCCATTGGAGAAGTATTTGACTTTTTAATTACTGGGCACCGCAGTCCATTGTTCTTGTTTGTTGAGAGAATCCCTCTTTTTTTCCAGTCTGTCCAATATAATTTATCAGCGTACAAAGCAAGAGCGAACGGATGTTCCAGTGAACACTGGTTAGGAGCTGACCTGAGTATGCTCTGACGATCTGAACCATCATAATTGGCTTTGTCTATATAAAATAAACTCGCATCTGTCCAGTATATCTTCTGTGCACTGTAGTCTATTGTTAGCCCGTTGGGCCAACGAATATTTCTTCGGATAATAACCCGACGATTTGAGCCGTCCATTTCAGATCGCTCTAATTTGGGTTCTCCGCCACAGTCTGTCCAAAACAGATCTCTAAAAAAAAAAAGGAATTAGACAGGAGGCGATTCAAACACTAACTGATCCTTGGTCTTAACGACCTGAAACTAGTCCGCATGCAACACCACAGCGCGATTGTCAGCCGTAATGGCTGCTTATTGAATTTGCCTGGTAATTTTCATTTTAAAATGCTGTCTTACAAATTAACTAACTAGCTACATTAAAATTACATTTTACATCAACGTCCGAGCACTCGATCGTAAATCTTGGGAACTCGAAAAGAATTTTGCCAAATCGGAAGCAAATTTATTCAAGGATTTGAAAATATTTTGTAGAAACCAAAAAATGCAACATATCGAAAACGTTCACTTAAGATAGGAGACTCCTTAATCGGCGCACTCGCAGAAAGCCCCCTTGCTCGGCCTTTCCACAAAATTTCCCTCTCCAATCACTTTTTTCTCTACAATCACGCTTTTCTTATTCGCTTGTTGTAGGTTTAGTCACTCTTTGCCTTTAATTTTGCAAGGTTTCATGGAATAAGTGAGGACTAGGACTAAATCCGCTAAACTCAAATAAGAATAGTAAATCAGTTTCCTCGATGTCGGCACCAGAAGCCATTAGGTGACCTTAAGAAACGACGACGACGATGACGACAACAACGGGCATCACGTTTTTTGTACATTTCTTTGACGTCCACTGCGCGACTACGACGTGAAACCTCCCAATACGACGTTTTATCAATGGATCGGGAGGAAGTGGAAATAATACGACAAATTTGCCGTTCTCTATTTGAAGATGGATAAAGCCCTTAAGAATTCAACTCCAGGAAACGTCGCCTACATTTGACGAATTGAACGGTTCCAAATGGACGCGATAAAGTTTGAAACGACGCAAATTCATTTTTTTAGTGATTTTTACACTGCCGTCGTCGTCATGGTTGCTTAAGGTCCCTTATTGATGACGTCATCGAGTATCCAAAGATGGTTATGGCCCGGACCGTTGATTGTTTGTTCTAAAATTTTAATTCGAAATTTTATAAAATGACTCTTGATTTAAAATCTTTTAAATATGAAAAACAGAACTGTTCCTGAAACCTCCTTTACAGTCAGGGCAGGTCAAGCGTACCCCCCAAGATTGCATCAATGAATTTATTTTTCGAAGGCTGAACCGTTGGTAATTGTAGATTTCAGTTTTATCTCTACACTCCTGCTTACGAGCAGTGAGGTAGTCATGAAATGTCTGGCAGCTCAGTTTTCTTGAATTTGATATAAATGTCTTTAAAACAATTTTGTCCATTCAAAGATTTTTTAATCTAACCGAATACAGAGGAGCCAGTATCGTGAAAAACTCACGGCTCCTTAAGGAGGAATGCAGATTTGAATTTGAGACCGGTTGAGGTTACGACTAACAGAATCATTTTTCAAATAATCGATTCATTAATGCCATCTTGGGGGGTATGCTTGACCTGCCTTGACTATAAGCACATACGTCCTTCGGGACTCTCGACTTTGTCGCGGAGACACGAATTCATTCCATTTGGTCTAAGCTAAGATCAGTCCAAAACAAAAATCCTTCTGCATCTAGAGGAAATCCACATCAATAAAAATAAACAAATTGAAACAAAAAATTGTCTCAACAGTTTTCCAACAGTATAAAGAGCAGCTTGCAGCAATTAGGGACGCTAACAAAGAGAGTAAGCAATTTGCAAGGACATGTGTATTCGGCAAAATAATATTCAACATAGCAATTAAAAGAATAAGTCATTCTTACCCCAATAACGGATCGACAGCAATTGCCCTTGGAGGACCCAAGTCTTTCCAAAAGAGAACTTTACGATTAGATCCATCTAAATTCGCGACCTCTATTCTATTTGTTTCCAATTCAGCATCTCTACAATCGGTCCAATACAGTTTTCTTGCAATCCAATCTACGGCGAGTCCTTCAGGTTTTTTCAAACCAACTGAAATAACATCTTCAACTTCTCCTGTGGAGACGCGAATTCGTTTGATTTTTTTCAAATTAACATCAGCCCAAAATATAATTCCTTCTGCGAAGAGAAAATCCACGGCATTTATGGCGTCATTTAAATGATCAATTATTACACTTTCATTTCTGGAATTTGCATTAAAGATTCTGATATCCTTTCGATTGGCGTACAACAGCATTGGAGCTGTGGAGGAGAAAGAAAAGAAGAAAACTTAAAAACGTAGGGTGTCAGTATTGGATTGAGCTATCCCAAAACAAGTATGTGCAAATTGAAATTAGAGAAAAACCTATTTTTAAACCTAGTCTACCGTGATTTTTGGACAACTGGAATGCTACACACATCTTTATTATTTATTCTAGACTTCTAGATTTTAACACTTTAGAGACCAGTGTTGGCTGGCGCCATTGTCGTTCCTCATGGGACGAAACAGATTATGCTTTTCTGAGCCCATTTAGCTTTCAGTATAAGGGACTAAGTTGGTAAGCAGCAAATTAGGGAAGGAAAGATATTTGCACAGGCACCTCGTTTTGGAAATTCTGACCAATCCTGCCGGAGTTATACTAACACCTAACAGCTAAAGTAATAACATTCTGGGGAGACATCCACTCTCATTTTCGCTATTCACCTTATGATCTTTCTAGATTATATTTTCCTTTTTCCTGGAAAGTGAGCCAGCCACAATTCCAAAGGAAAAGTCCAAATTTGGCTTATGTGCAAGGTTAATGACGTCAAATTAGTACGAAAGAACGCCTTTAGTGTTGCAAATCGCATTTGTAGCCATTTCCACGCTCAGCTTGACCTGTATGTATGTTAAGGCTTAGATTCGACGTAAGAATAAGTTTGTTTTAGTCGTAAACTTAGGAGAATTAACATTTGACGTTTTTGATCGTACAAGAGTGACATATACCGTCAAGTAATTTTCCGCTTTTGATGACGTCACAAAACGCGTTTCTTTAAATGGCGCACATTTGCGCATTAAAAATGTGAAACTTTTCAATGTCAAAATGGTCTAAAGAAATATTTTAAACATGATTCTGCCTTTTAACTCGGTATTATTAGAATATTTGTTACGTCACATGACCTGTTTTACTTAACTGACGGTTTCTGATAACTTAAGGAGAGGATTATAAGGCAGCACTCTAAAACCCTTGCAATGAGTCATAGAAAAAATGATAAAATATGGCGAATACACTCCAAGTAAGTATTCCCCATTTTCGTCGAAACATTTTGACCGTTACAAGGCGAAAGTCAGTCACGTGACTTAGACAGACAGTGAAAAAGCTCATCAAGTGGATTCAAACGTGGAAAGGAAACTGCATGCCAAGTTTCACAAAGATGAGAGAAATTTTTCTACTTGAAAACCCACTGCAAAATTCGTGGTTAAGTGAAGCCTTAACACTTATGGAGTGCCACAAGGTAGCAAAACTAAATGCAAGGCTGCTAATACGGCAGAGGGCTGATTTATATGAGGCCAATATTTTGGCTAACAAAATTAGCCTTCCTTAGGGCCAGAGCTACATAATGGCCTCTGCCCTATGCCAGCCTTTAATTTAGTCTTGTTTTAACACCCAGTTCAAGTGACGTGTAGCATTAGCATCTCTAAATTAGCTTACATTAGTGATCCAGCAAGAAAGAACCAGTTTGGTTTTATTTACGCGTTGAGTGGACCTCTGCATTCAAAGGTTTTTAGCATTTTAGGTTCGTTGTGTTTTTACTTCTACTCCATTTGGCTTCCAAGTCCACAACACGGCTTCCTCAGTGCTGTGTGGACACAATGCGTGGATGATACTAAATTAATACTTAAATCTCAAGTACACTGATCTCAATACAGACTCAGGCAAATTCCATTGCAGGGGCGGATCTAGGGGGAGGGTGCAGGGGGTGCGCACCCCCACTGAGATGACCTGCGGTTTTCTAATACAACTGGTATTCTGCCAAAAAAAAAAAAAAAGCCAATGTGGTTTATTGGCGTTGAAGTAGAGCAAGAGGTGAGTGCACCCCCTCCTAAAAAAAATTCTGGATCCGCCCTTGCATTGCTAAATCTAATGAAGACAATATGCAAAATTAGTGACTGAAACTTTATATAGAAATCAAATCCTCATTAGCCGTGATGTAACTAAGCTCATTATCTTTAGGAAGCAGAGCGATGGTCAGTAAAGCAGAGGATTTCCCCCTAATCTTGCTGGGAAAGGAAATTACACCCGTTGCTTCGGCTCAGGAAGTGCCGTTTTTTTCTGGATTCCAGCCTAGAATACAACAATCACGTTCGGCTTTGACGGTGTCCAGCTGTATGGCGAGGTTAGGAAAAATCAACCGAGTTAAACAAGGTTTCGGCACGAATACTTATAACCATCATAATCAATACTTTCTCGTTTTCAGCAAGCTATATCACTGTTGCAATGTCTCAGGGCGACATCTCGGAGCACAATCTGAATGTAATCCAAGCTTGCACCGGACTCCTTATTTTCTAAATATTTTTCCTTGTTTAAAGATCTTTGCGCTTTGGCGTTTTACTAAGATATCAAATTTACTTTCATTTGGGTGATTAAGCAGTTCTTTCAAATAACAAGAACTAGGAGTCAGCTTTACCAATTAAAGAACCTCTATTTCCCCCTTTTAAGTTCGAAGGCTGAAATTCATTATAATTGTACAGATACCTTGTTCTTTCTTTCTTTACGGATCAGGACAAATTTGACTTACCTTGTATTCTCACATCTTCGTGAACCTTCGATTGTGAAGCTACCGACTGCGATTGAGTTGTGATTACGTCCCATATCGCTGTAATGAACAGCAAAAACAATGAAGTTCTCATGGTTCTTGAACTAACTGAGAAGACTAACTGTCGGGGAATAGCGTATGACTACTTTCTGTGGGTGATGTTTTTTAACGGAAAAAACATGCACTCGCTGGGTACCGTTGGCTCACGTGTAACGGATGTGCAATGTATTTTGCCGTGGCCTTTCGAGCTCAGGCTTATGCAGCCTATAGCAAAAAGTTACTTAATCCCGTCAAAATAACTTCAAGTGCCAGACTGACCACAGCGGAAATACTGAATGATCAAAAACAAACTCTTAGTGATCTTAAAATAGATCTATTATCCGCGCCTTACTGTATTATCCAGAGCCATCTGACAATGAATTCCAGTAGAAGATAACTTTTGAATATGATGAGACCAAGAAAGGTTTTCATTGTTTTAAAAGTGACCAAGCTTTAGTTTGTTACAGTGTCTACGGTGAAGGAAAGTCATACAGTGTTGATCTGGGATTAAATGCGAATTCAGGTTTTGGCCGTAAATTCAGATCGTCCTTTTTTGTGTGGACTCCTTACAGCAAAAACCTTGTTCAGTACTTTTATCATGGTGCACCAAATACACAGCCAACGAAAGCATACTTGCGTTCGTTACACGAGCCAAATGAAACGGTATCATGACCTGACTCAAAGGTGAGCACTGTACCGTAAACCTTTAAGCACGGGGCACGACATTTTTATATATCAAGTACATCGATAGTGCCTGCGTGGGAGACGTTGGAACCCGGGGGGGTACTCCCTTATATAAGCTATATAGGTACGTGCCGCCCCGTCGGGTAGGGTTTTTGCGCCGTTTTGGTGTGAAAACGGGTATACACTTTGGCCATTTTGGTCTGGAATCGGGTATGCTTTTTGAGGGAGTTTCAATTCCAAATGAGTACGAAAGAAAGAAAAATATGAGATTTCGAAACGGATTTGAAGAATTTTTTCGTTTGCGCTCTAATCTAAGTAATGATAACATAATTTCTGCTTAAAGGCCAAGTCTGAGAACGGGTATGGATTTTAGAGGTCTGGTCTGAAAACGGGTGTGGAAAATTACATTTTTTGGTCTGAAATAAGGGTCAGGAATTAGAGAACCGGGCGGCACACCCCCACCAAGAATTCTCAGGAGTACCCCCCCGGGGGGTGGAAAAGCGAAGTCGAATAGGTGAAAATCGAAAAGCGAGCGCGTCATAATGCGCACCACTTCACTGCATATGACCTGATGTCTTCTTTAGCCATGTCCTCTTCATGATATACAGTAGCCTTCAAGCTATGACCGTTTCGGTTTGAAAATGGCTATGGTTTTCGAGGAAACTAAGGCAGTGTATGAACGTATTATAAATAAGAAAGAAAGAGAAATATGCGAATTCGACGCAAAGTTTAAGAAATCTTTTTTGTTGGCGTTCTAATCTAAGAAATGATGACATAATTCCCTAAAGGCCAGGTCCGAAAACGGGCGTGAAAAATTTCATCTTTTGGTCTGAAATAGGGTCAGAATTTAAAGATCCGGCGGCACACCCTCACCATGAATTCCCCCTCCGGAGTACACCTCTCCCCCCGGGTAAGTACCCCAACTCCTACCACCCACCTAACAAAGCAATCAAACTTAATGGGCAAAAGAACGTTTTTAAACATCCAGGCAAAAGATGTTTTAATTTCTTATAAGATTACATTACAAATTTTCCTCTTCATCCATTTTAGGAGCACAATAGTCACACTCCATCCTTGTATCCACGCTTATCTTTAACATCTCTACGAGCGAGTTTGTCAAAGATTTCAGTTTCATGGTATCTACGTCAATTCTAGCGTTTATGCTTTTATTTTATCGCTATTCTTGATTCATTTTCTTTATCCAAAAGGTCACCTTGGTTAAACAAACTTAAAATACTTTACATACATGTATCCGATATTCTGGACCCAAATAGGTCTTTCAGGGTTAAAAACAACAACAACAACAAAACTAACTAAAAAATAATAATAAAATGAATAAATAAGAAATTCAAAAGCTAAGTAACCTGACTGGATTTTCAAAACATAGTTAACTAAAAGTCAAGACAAGCTCGGACAATCACGCAAGAAAAGGGAAACTGGAAAAGAAAAGGGAGAGCAAGAAAAGATGGGAATTAAAAGAACAACTGAACCGAAGAGGGTTATGCTCTTTGTTTCTATAATGGCTTCTTTGGAGGTTTCACGGAACCTGGAACAGCCAGCGACTTCAGCGAAGGCACGATTTTATAATTTAACTAGACTCGCCGAAAGACTTTACTAGGCTTCCATAAAACTGTGTTGCATTGCATGAAAACGAGACGTTTTCTCAGTAGAACAGATGGCCAACAGCTTATAATAAAAAATAATTAACCCATTAAACCTATTCCGATGGATCCACGG